CACCCCACTGAGTGTTCTTGTTCTTTTATCATTTTTCTGTATTAGTTTATTCAAGAACATAGTGATTGTTTGGTTTCACCTTCGTAGTTATTATTGGGACATTCAATGCACTGGATGAGGTACACCACATGTTGTGATAGGCATGTGTAGGAGCCATGGATCTTGAAAGAATCTTGTGTAGAGTATTGATCATTGTAGCAGTGGAGATATGTCTGCAGGTTTTGCATGTTCTGGTATGATCTGGTGCTGCTTTTAATTAGTCTATGGAGCTTGCGTCTAATGATGAGCTTTTCAAGGTTGTTTGTTTGAAGGCCAGAAGAGGGGATTCAGGAAACATTTTTTTCAGGATATGGTTCATGTCAAGTATGAGTTTTAATTGTTTAATGATACCCAATATGGATTCCAGTGTGCGTGATAAGTGACAACTAGGGGTGTGTGGTCACAGGGTTGTTGTTGTTTTTTTCTGTATTGAAGCAAGTTCTCTCAGGATATATGAGTGGCTCACTCCATGATGTACTCTGGTGAGTGTCCTTGTTTGACGAAGGAGATTTTAAGTGTGTTAAGGTGTGTATCCTGTTCTGTAGTATCTGAGTGCCTAGTTGTAGACAAAAGATTTCCTGATGTGTATGGGGTGATTACTGAATCTGTAAAGGTATATGTGGTGACCCATGGGTTTCTTATATATAGTTGTCTGTAGGATTCCTCTGTATTTAGTTATGACACTCTGAATACTTTTCCCGTATCTTTAATTTGAAAGCTTGTACCTTTCACCAACAGAAGTTGGTCTAATAAAAGATATTTCCTTATCCTGTCTCTAATATCCTGATACCAACACAGTTACAACAACACTGCAAACAAAATGTCACATTTAGAGAAGAGTTTAGATTTGAAAAATACCATTGAAGTTGTGTGCTGATTTTGTTCACTGTTTAAGAAAATATTAGTACTTAGTTTGGATTTGCAAGCGGGGTTCATTGGTCATGGTTGATCACATGGCAGTTGTTCTGGTTCACTGATTGTATGAGCTAGAGGGTTTGCAGACACCATATTTTTTTGTTTGTCTAAAGAAGGTCTGATTCTGAAAATACTTAAGCACTTAATGTGTGCAACTTTACTGATGGGAGTTGCGAGAAAGAAAGGGCCTAAGAAAAAGTAAGTAGTAAGAAAATTGTGCTTTTAAATTTTATAATACAACTAATGCTTGATTTTTTACAATTTTTTGTTATTTGAAAAAGATTCTGTGTGCACTGTATGTGTGTCCACTGATTTCTTTCTATTTTGGCTGGACCAATATGTTAGATTACTGTCACTATAATCTGTTACTAGCTTTCTGCGTCACTGTTTTAGACTGGCCTTTTAAGAGAGAGCAATGCAAGTACAACTGTGACTCATCAGCTCATTTCATTTGGACTTAAAAGAAGACACCTGGGCCCACAGGAAAGAGAAATACTTCATGAGTTAGAGTTGGCTGGTTTAGTGAGGAGAAAATGTAGTTGAGAGCTACCTGGGAAATAGGAGATTGGAGGAAATCTCTGGGGAAAGCTGTAGAGAGCAGAAGGGTCTCTGCCTGCCCTCCATGGAAAGAGGAAGGACTTATCAGGAAGCCAGTTGGGGGCTAGTATGCTCATATTTCTGAGCTAGACAGTCCTGGCCAGGCCAGAGAAGGCAAGAGGTAGCTGAAGGCTGAAAGAAATAGCTGCTGGTTGTCAAAGCTGGAAAGCTGAAATTGGAGGGATGGAGAGGGCTAAAGGCCGGGAAGAGGTCTGATGAGACTCTGGAGCTGGTATGTGATGAGTGACACTGGGGCTGGTTGTTGATGGACTTCTAGGACTTGTTTAGTTATGGTTTATGTGCATAGGACATTACTATAAATGAACCCCACAAGGGCTATATTTATATTCAGGAAAATAGCTTGGAGTATTCCTGAGGATTCTAAAGAAGGGAAATGGAGGAAGCAAATCTGTCATGCTGATGTCTACTGCAGGAGGGCACTTCAGGCAGCTCTGCCCTCCGACAACCTAATTACCAGAAATTAAAGACACTGTCCCATATGGACTTCCTCTTGAATAGCATAAATAAATAAATAAATCTGATTCATGTATAAAATAATTGATTAAAAATAACCTCAACATGCAATACACTAGCTCTCAACTGTGTTATCTTGATATTACCTCTGCCTATTCCTTCTTTCCTTACTGTCTTGTTGTCCCTGTAGATGAGACCTAATATTTGGGTACAACCCTTTAAATGTTTGTAAGAGTAACTTTACTGACAGGAACAATTCCATTAACTCCAATGGAATCTTCGAGTGAAATCTTGGCTCCGCTGAGTTGATGTCAAAACTTTCAAAGGGTCCGAGAGTTCACCCAATGTGTCTGCAGGATTGGCCCTCAGTTTCTAAGCTCCTTGGTGTGGGGATCATATTTGTTGTCTATTTTTGGGAGGAACCTACCATACCTTGAATGCTGTTTAAAATATTCAATCATATTGTATAATATGTTAATATGATTAGATATACATAAGATAGCAACTTGTATTAGAATTCTGAAGGAACACATTACTTTCTTTAATGATGATCTAGTGGCCAAAAATTATGATTTACCTTTGCCTAGAATCTATATTTCCATTTCTTTTTCATAAATTTCTTGAAGCTTAAAAACATCTGTACTTGTTTTCCTAGCATTTTAAATATTTTATCCTGTTGAGGGATTAATACACTATAATAGTGTCCTGGGAAACACTTTATAATTTTCAGTGAATAACTCCTATTAATGAAAGCAGAATCAAAGAACTGCAGGCCCTTGTGTTGCTGATTTCAGCGGCAAGTTGCTCCAAACATGAACAAGTGGATTCTTTTGTCACAGACATAGTCTTAAAAGATAAAATAGCCATGAACATAATGTAGCAGCTTGCACCAGTTTCTCTATTATCATTGATGCATTATAGTAGTACCCACATTATCCTAAGCTATTTCCAAACCTAGACAAAGGCATTGTCCTTGCCCTCAAGAGTGTATAATCTAAAACATACCCAAGAGGTAGGGAAGGGATAAAACATGGAAGAAAAGTGATCTGGAACATCTCCAACATAGACAAATCATGTTGAACTAATGCTCTGCCCAAGCTTACTTAGGGGAAGTTGAAGGAGGGTGATACTGGAAGGGGAGAGTGACCTATGGTTTGGGAGGGAAGAGGAATGGATGGATATGTCGGAGAGGGGAATAATAGACTGTGGAGAGGGATATTGCTAATAAACTGTTAGGAAGAGAGATACATATTTGTGCACTGATAATTGACATATTGGGGGTTGCAGATTGGCGCTCCTATGGGGGGGGGGTTAAAATGCTGAACTGCACAAATGTAAATTTCTTGCACTTTTTTTTTAGATTTTTTGGTACCCCAGTTCAGGGTTGGTCTGGCTAGTGGTTACACGGTGAGATGGTATAGGATTATCAACTGGTCTGATGTGGGGTCTGAACCTCTTGCTTTTTCTACAGTAGAGCAAAGCCTCCTCCTGGTACGTACAAATGCTGCTAGCCCACGCTGCCACATCCTCACTGCTATTTTTAGCAAGCTAGCCAGAGTACAGATAGCACAGGTATGTCTACACGTGATGCAAATTACACCTCCAGTTGCAGTTTAGATGTACCTTTGGGCACTTAGAACCCTAAGTCCAGTAGGATTTAGGCTCCCAAGTACCTCAGTTAATTCTGAAAATGGAATTTATGCAGTTCTGAAAATGTTACCCTAAATATCTTTGATAATTAGCAAAAATGGCAAAGAGAAGTTACAAAAAGTATAAAACAAATTTATTGTATAAATAGCATTGTAAAAGTGTTTCTAAAACTTTTTAAGTGAGATCTTTGATTTTTGTCCACTTTAAATGTGATAGGTTTTGATTTATGTAAACAATATATTAACCATGTTTAAAATCAGTTTTAGCATAGGTAAACCTATATTGCCACTTCTGCAGGCTGGTTCATATTTTGTCACTTGTATTTATAACAGTTATTGGTTTGCATTTGGTGAACAACAGGGCTTTAAGAATAATGCCTTGATGCCTCAAATCACTCAGGTTTGCTTTTCTACGCTTTCTCTTGCTTTGTTTCTATCCCGCTAACCCCTCATCACAAAAAAGGAATACAAGCAAAATAATTCCTTGTAAAGATGGAGAAAAAGCATCACACTGGGTTTTTTTCTCCCCCATTCAGAGTCACAGCATAAGTAACTCAGTCCAAGGTAGAAAAATAATTCTACCTGTACTAATTTATATATATATATATGACCAGCTTTGATGAGGAAGGTATTATTCAGACAATAGCTAGAAGAGTAGAGGGTAGGATTGAATGGGGCACTAGAAAACTGGGGTTCATTTTCTGGTGCACACACACACTTTCCAGTGTGACCTTTTTTACAGTGTGCCTCAGCTGCCCATCAGTTAAATGGGGATAATATTTTCCTGCCTTACAGGCATGTTGAGAATAAAATCTATTAATGATTGAGGTGCTTCCATTCTGTGATAGTGATGCTGTATAAACACATGGGTTTATACAGCACCTATTATAATGGGATTCCTGTTTATTCCAAGGGCTCCTAGGTGCTTCTGCAATAATAATAATAATAATAATAAAATAATAAAAAAGAGATAGTGAGAAGACACATAATTCCCATTCTTAAGTAATGTTATGGGTACAAAACTGTCCATGTTTACCAGATATATTTTTGTGGGGTTCTTCATGATAATGAGCATAATGCAAAGTGAGTGTTTGCAAGTTTGATCCCAAAGTGTTGAATATGAAGTGATCTTTGACACAGTGTAATAAAAATATAACCCCACCCCAGGATTTACCCCTACATTTTTAAACCCGTTTTGGCAATCTAAAGTAGGCACTGTGTAACTACAGCTATTTAACTTGAGTAAAAAACATGGTTCTTATTGGGTATTCAATTACAAGGTTTCGACTCAATAAAACAGAAGCAGCTTCAAAGGTAGTAATTTAATAGAAAGCAAATAAGATCTAAGGGATACAAACAAAGCTTTTTCCTTCATTAGTACAAAGAGTGTGCATGCATGCACACATCACAAAGTTTACTGTATTTCACTATCAGTTATAAAAAGAGTTTTCCCCTCCTGTTAGTAATGCAATTTCCCCATAACTAGAAAATCTATTACAAAATTTATTAGCATGATCAGGTATCTATAAACGCACATCAGCCCATTTAAAAACAAAATAAAATCCAAAAACCTGCAGTGCTTGTCATTTGGGCTGTCTTGATCAGAACAAGCTTTCTAATGATTGCCTACACCGTATCATATTTGTACAGTGGTAACCAAATAAAGGTAACAAAGAAGCTGGTGGTTCTCCAAGCAGTCTTTCCTGTGGGGCAATAACAGTACTGGTACCCTCATAATATACTCATTTTGGGATACTAGGTGAATTCTGTTATCTGGTTAATTCCAATTTATTCTCTTCTCAATAACCTCGTGATTGAGCATTTCCATTCTTGCCCTTCTCTCATTTTCTATGCAGGTTTTCATCAGTAGACCTGTCGTAAGGAATGAACTTTTTATACTCAAATATAGAAGAGAGAAACAGCATGTGTGATAAAGAAGCGGTGGGGGTAGCTCCCTTTTATGGACACCCAGCCAGCCAGTATCTATAAAATCCCTCTTAGTAGCTGTTATCTAATTGCTCTACCTGTAAAGGATTCAAAAGTCTCAGTGCTATGCATAGGTAAAAGGAAGTGAGTGGGCACCTGGCCAAAAGAGCCAGTGGGAAGGCTAGAAATTTTTAAAATTGAAGTGTCTCCCTTTTTGTCTGTCTGTCTGTCCCTCTCTGGGGGAGAGACAGACATGGCAGCAGCTTTGCTGTAAAAGCTTGGGCCAGGTATGAAAATCAACAGTATCATAGAAACTACTCATTTGAAAAACCCAGATATGTAAGTAGATCAGGAAATGTCTAGGAAGACATGATTAGGTTTATCCCTTTTATTTCGTTATGGTTTGTGGATTCCTTTGTGCTAACCCCAGGTGCTTTTGTTTTGCTTGTAATCTTTAAGTTGGACCTCAAGAAAGCTATTCTTGGTGCTTAATCCTTGTAGTTGCTCTTTTTAAAATCTAGCAATAGCCTGAGTTCCCAGATGCATTTTATTCCTTTTTTAAAAATAAAATTTATCTTTTTAAAGAACAGAATTGGATTTTTGTGTCTTAAGAGGTTTGTGCACGTTGTTTAATTAGCTGGTGTCAATAACTGATTTCTTTTTTTTTTCCTTTCTCAGCTCTTCCCTGGAGGGGGGATGAAAGGGCTTGAGGGTACCACACAGGAAGGAATTCCCAAGTGCGCCTTCCTAGCCTCTCAAAAGGGTTCTGCACTTGGGTGGTGGCAGCATCTACCAATCCAAGGTCAGAGAAAAGCTGCAACCTTGGGAATTTAATACAAGCCTGGAGTGGCCAGTATTAATTTTTAGAATCCTTGCAGGCCCCCAACTGCTGTACTCGAAGTGCCAGAGCAGGGAATTAGCCTTGCCAGCATGGTTTAACAATAACAGACAAGAAAATTAAAGTTAGAGCATCTGAGCTATGAAATAGTATTGAATGCAGGATTACACCAATAAATAAATAAAACAAAATCCTTAGCTTCAATACTTACACTAAAACATCATGAATGTACTCACAATTTAACTAGTCAGTCCAAATACATAAATGCATTTATTGTATTATGAAAAATGACACCACCTGTCCCAAGGAGTTCCACTATTGTGGTTCAGCTTGAAAGATGATTGAGCTTTAGTGGAAGTGGCACCTAAGGTATGGAGCTTATTCTAATTACCCTCACACACTCCCCCATACCTGCAACATTTTAACACTCCCCATTTTGAAAAGCCTTGTTTTGAGATGTGGTTGATCTTTAGTCACTGACAGCTTCTGCATCAGATTCCCATATCCTTTTTTAAAAAAATGATAAATTAGCTAAATTTTTATTTATTCTTTGGTATTTGTGGTAGTTAATTTTTTTTAAGATGAACTGTCTCGCCGAGGCCCTTGAGATTATGTCAGATCAGAAGGTGTGTGTGTGTGTGTGTGTGAGCATGCACTGTTATTACTATTGATTTATATATTATTTATGCTACAGTGGTATTCAGAGGCCTCAGTCAGGTTCCTTTACTGTGCTGCACCCTGTATAATCACATAGGAAGAGAAGGTCCATGCCTCAAAGAATTGGCAATCTAAGTTGTCAAGGGTTGCAGTTGTGACCATCCCTTAAGTGAATTACATGGAAGAATATTCCTTACTCCCTCTTATGCCTTTGTGTGGCCATGGCAGGACAGGGCACAATCTAGCCCTAAATTTTTGGCAGCCCTCTCATAAGCACCAATGAATGTTCTTCACTTTTTTTCCTCCTCTTGCAGTCTCCCTGCTTAACTTTTCTTCTGTCTCTTCTTATTACTCCTTTACCTGAGAGATCAGGCTATCAACCAGCTCCCTTCTCTCTAAATCTTATTCACTGACACCAACTTCTTTCATCTCTCCCTACACCTCATTTCCCTCTCAATTTCCTGTATCTTCTTTCGCGTGCTATTCACAGTTTCTACCCTTTGGAGAAGACTTGAGTATCAATTTGGGGATTTAGTGATTAAAGAAAAAGGCTGGAGAAATGAGTTGTTCTGAGTACCAGTCACTCAGCCATTGGCTTTTGGTAAGTGATTCTGAAAGAGGATCGGTTGTTCCACACCTTTCAGGACAAGAACACGCACAATGTTGGCTGGTGGTGACAATATACACCAGTAATGAGGTTCTGGAATCCAAGTCAAGCAAAGACTCATTGAGCTTTATTTTAACTGTCTTCTCTGGGTGCTGCTTGTGTTCTCCCCTCAACGCCCAATAAGAAACGTAGCTTCCAAATAGGGACTCCATAGAATCACTAGCCACTCTTCTTGAATTCCCTTAGCTGTCTAAACAAACTGAGGTACATAGCCAAGCTTATCCATCATTTCTACACAGATCAGGAAGGTACAAAACAAGTTCAATATGCCATGAAATGATTTGTGCTTGCAGCTTATTGAAAATAACAGGACTTCCGTGCTTAATTCCCTAAGTGCCATCTTGAGACTGTACCTGAGGAGATGCATCTTATCTAATATTTTCATTAGAAATATCTCATTGTATGAGGGCTTTTGTTTTTACTGAAACCTATAATTGCTTTATATATTCATGTGCAATGTGCATATGCACAGCACCTTTTTAGACACTAATTATACTGGCTAGGATAATCTCACACTGACACACTATAGTCAACAAAAGGTAAATAAGTCATTACCCCTGCAGAGAGATTTAGAAGTAAATGATACTTTTCTTTTTGACTAGAATTCTTCAGAAATATAAACACAAAGGAGGAAGTTTGGGTTCACAACTCTTTTGCAGGTATTAGTGCTTGAATTTCCTGTTTGTGCAACACAGTGCTTTACACTTGGTGGTGGTGAAGTTTCACAAACAATCCAGCCACACACAACCCCTGTAAAATTTGCATTACACATATTTGAAAAAAATGGATGGAATGAGGCACAGAAAAGTTGTAACATGCCCAAGATTTACAAGTGATCCAATACAATACCGACAGCAAGAACAGAACTGAAGTGGTAGCATATTCAGCTCTATAGTTCTTCTTCCCTGCTGCCTCACAGTTATCCTAGGGTTTGAGAGAAACTGGAGTCTTGATGAAAACCAGTTAGATCAAGCTGTATCTGAAGATGAATGTTGATGGTTAAATGAAGGGGAAAATATTTTGAGGAATTGGTGGGAATTATAGTTTCATCTTCTTTTGAAGACATCCACTTTCTGATAATCAAGGGAATAGCCTCGGGCATTCATTGCAACACTTCGAACCAAGGTAATTGCAGTGGCTAGAAATACTCTTTTTCTGTCTTCAGTTGACCAAAACAATGTGCCCCTACTTCTCTGATGCATGTATGGTCATCCTGAATGATGCATTCATCGCATCCAGACAGGGCTTCAGCACCTATTATCCCCATAGAGATTACTCAAAAAAGACAAAACTTCCCAAAGTTATATTATCTTTTCTGTAGTCCCTCTCCACACTGGGTAAAATCCCTTTAAGGAGACCTGCAGCAGGGAGAAGTCCCAGTTACACAGATTCACTGAAATTTTGCTTCCAGAGAGTAAGGAAGGTTGCCAGGGGGTCCAGCAAATAGTCTTTGATTCATGTAGATTCCTTGGGATTTGTGTGTTTTGGGTGTGGAACTTTATGGAGACTGGGGGCACAAATTTCTCCCTCTTCAATGACTGAAGGCAACTCTGCAAGATGATCCCTCCAAGATGTTTCTGTCCTTTGGCTCCCTCCCACAGTTTTCTATTTGGGAGGAAACTGATCTAACTAGCAGATGAAATTAAATGTTGATAAATGGAAAATAATGCACATTGGAAAACATAATCCCAACTATACATATAAAATGATGGGGGTCTAAATTAGCTGTTACCACTCAAGAAAGAGATCTTGGAGTCATTGTGGATAGTTCTCTGAAAACATCCACTCAATGTGCAGTGGCAGTCAAAAAAGCTAACAGAATGTTAGGAATCATTAAGAAAGGGATAGATAATAAAACAGAAAATATCATATTGCCTCTATACAAATCCATGAAATGACCACATCTTGAATACTGCATGCAGATATGGTCCCCCATCTCAGAAAAGATATATTGGAAAAGGTTCAGAAAAGCGCAACAAAAATAATTAGGGGTATGGAACAGCTTCCATATGAGAAGAGATTAATAAGATTAGAATTTTTCATTTTGGGGGAAAAAAGACAACTAAAGAGGGATATGATAGAGGTCTATAAAATCATGACTGGTGTGGAGAAAGTAAATAGGGAAGTGTTATTTATTCCTTTCATAACAAAAGAATTAGGGGCCACACAATGAAATTAATAGGCAGCAGGTTTAAAACAAACAAAAGGAAATACACAATGCACAGTCAACCTTTAGAACTCTTTGCCAGAGGATGTTGTGAAGGCCAAGACCATAACATGGTTCAAAACAGAACTAGATAAATTCATGGAGGATAGGTCCATCAATGGCTATTAGCCAGGATGGGCAGGGATGGTGTCCCTAGCCTCTGTTTGCCAGAAGCTGGGAGTGGGCGACAGGGGATGGATCACTTGATGATTGCCTGTTTTGTTCATTTCCTCTGGGGCATCTGGCATTAGCTACTGTTGGAAGGCAGGAATCCGGCATGGCTGTTCCTATTTTCTTATGTTCATCATCATAGTATCTGAGCTCCTTCCACATAAAATTGATACCAATGGTTAAGTTGGTAGACTATATGGAGTCTCTGCCTTTTCTTCTTTGTGGGAGTATAAAAAAGTTCTGCTTCCAGTAGGGCTGTTAAAGGGCTGTTACCAGATACACTCAGTGGTAGCCCCTACACCAGGGGTGGGCAAACTTTTTGGCCCAAGAGCCACATCGGGGTGTGAAACTGTACGGAGGACTGGGTAGGGAAGGCTGTGCCTCCCCAAACAGCCTGGCCTCTACCCCCATCCACCCCCTCCCACTTTCCACCCCCTGCCTCCCCCCCTCAAAACCTCCGACCCATCCAACCCCCCGCTGCTCCTTGACCTCTGACCTCCCCCTCCTGGGACCCCCACCCCCGGCACCCACCCCCAATCCAAACCCCCCTGTTCCCCATCCTCTGACTGCCTCCCCATCCAAATGCCCCCTGTCCCCTGACTGCCCCCCAGAACCCCTTGCCCCTTACACAATCCCCCAGCCCCGGCTGGCCCCAGCCCCCTAACTATGCCACTCAGAGCAGCATGTCTAGCCACCGCACCACCCAGCCGGAGCCAGACTCGCTGTTGCGCTGCCCTGCTGGAGTGCGCAGCCCCACTGCCCAGAGCAGCAGTGGCGTGGCTGCGGGGGAGGGAGTACAGCGGGGGAGGGGCTGGGAGCTAGCCTTCCAGGCCAGGAGCTCAGGGCCTGGGCAGGACGGTCCTGCGGGCCGAATGTGGCCCGCAGGTCGTAGTTTGCCCACCTCTGCACTACATGGTTGAACTCTACTCATCTTGAGCCTTAGTTCTGCTATTTTTAAAAATTATTTAAGACCTATCATTCTGAGTTAGCCTATTGCCAATAAAAAGCTGCACAATGATTGCTAGTGACTTCCTGGGTGACAACCTCCAAGACCAACACTGATCCTTTCACAATGAAGTCAATGAGAGCTTTTCCATCAACTTGAATGGGAGCAGAAAGCCTCAACTATTTAGCCTACTTGGAAAAGTGGCTAAACTGAACAGAGGGTTTGAGCCTTTTGGAGCAGAATGGATGTGGGTCACATTTTTGTACATAGGATCTAGCTTACATACAGTAAAGAAACCCACACTTATGGGTGCTATTAATGGTGAAAAGATGGGAGACCTTGATTCAAGTTTGACTTGAGGACCTTACTCCTTAGTTAAACTGGGGCAACAAACTCTCAGATTGTGGAAATTGGGAGCAATATTCAGAGACTGGACACTTAACCTATGCCTTTAAGTTAAGGAGCAGGAAGGCAATCACTACACTCTTTAGGAAAGTGGTTCTCAACCAGGGGTATGTGTACCCCTCAGGGAACTCAGACCTCTTCCAGGGGGTACTTAATTCATCTAGGTCATTGTTTCTCAACTTGGGAGGTGGTCATGTGATGGGTTTAGGGGGGTTGCAAGTGCAGAGGTTGGCATTAGGGGGTTGCAAGCAGGGCAGTTGCCTGGAGCCCCATGCCACAGGGGGTCATGCAAAGCTAAATTACATGCTTCAGCCCCAGGTGGCAGGGCTTGGGCTTCAGACAAGGCTCACAAGTGAAAAACTTCCTCGAGTATCATACTGAAATAGAAGTACAATATTTATATTCCCATTGATTTATTTTATAATTACATGGTAAAAATGAGAAAGTGAGCAATGTTTCAGTAATAGTTTGCTGTGACACTTTTTTCTATTTTTATGTCTGATTTTGTAAGCAAGTAGTTTTTAAGTGAGAAAACTTGGGGTTCACAAGACAAATCAGCCGCCTGAAAGGGGTACAGTAGTCTGGAAATGTTGAGAGCTACTGCTTTAGGTTGACTGCCCTTCCAGTCACATGGTGAATGTAATTATCGTAAACTGCTGCTTAAGTGATAAAACAATATTGCTAAATATTAAATACAATGAAACAGTACTGACCTGTTTTAGAGACCTATTAGTGCATGAACTTTAACTGGGATTACATTAAAATGGAAACACCCCACCAGTCAAAATGCCAAGCTACTGACATATCACTGCTCTATAAATTCTTCTACTAAATAAAAGGACTGATCTGTTAAATAAAATATTGTGATTCCATCATCACTGCTTCATCTTTGAGTTCCCTTCTACCCACTATAGAAGTGAATTGCTGTGGCAGCTTCTGATTCGCAGCATAATTTAACCTTCTCACACTGATAACTGGGAAGATCCTTCACACAGTTTTGTGGTTTTTTTTATGACTGTCTAAAAGCTTTGTAAGTAAGGGTTTCATTGCTTCTTGATGTGAACAGTTTTCTACAACTTTTTTTCAGTCTATTGCTGTGAAGCATTTTCTCGTTCTCTTTTTTCTTTTCAGTGATGATTACCATTCTGAGCTGCAAGCTGTAACTTAGAGAAGTTCTTACATATAGCTATTTCTAACCTAGCATTGGGTCTAATTCAATTATTCTGTGGGTAATGTGCAGCTGAAGGCAATGTTGCTAGTAATTTTAGGCAGCAGGACTGGGCTTAAATTGACTATATTAAAACAGGATTAAAACTACCATTATACATGGTTTGATATTACTAGCCACACTGTATTTGTTTGATACATAGAACATTATATATGTTTCTATTTTACTTTTCTGAGTGGGGGAAAGACTGGTTTCTTAGCATCATTCAGAAAATTAGTAAATTCTGGAGATTGGCTTTATAGTTCCAGAGACAGGAGGATGCTCAGTCATTCCTGGCTCCTGATTTGTGAAATTGACAAATAGACCATATAACCCAATTAGAGGGAGTGAGAAGCCTCTAACTATGGGTGAAAGAAGGCACTTTTGGCTTGAATGTTCTCGAAGAAGGTGTACCTTTGATAAGATGCTATGTAGCTCTCTCCTAAGAAGATATACAGTAAGTAGGAATTGGATGTTTAATGTTAACAAAGGTGTGACTGCGAACAACTTAGTTGTCTATTTATGATCTGTGTAAAAAAAGTTCAAATGTATATTACATAATAAAGACACCTATACATTGCTTCAAGAGTGAAATGGTCAGTATATTTGTCAGTGAATGTGTCACCAATATGTTCTTGGTCTATTCACTTATTTCAACAAATAGGAAACCTTAATTTGGCAGGGAAGCCCCTAATCTAACCAATTCTGATTTCAAAATCTCAACTTTACTGCTCTTTTGTTTTGTCATGAATAAATTTAGGAACATACGAACTTTGCTAAACATTTAAACTGTCCTTTATGCATAAACACTTGGTTTCTGTTACTCAGGAACAAAAAGTGGTGTTTTGACAACCCTTATTATTTGATACATTGATTACATTTGTATAGCATGTGAAGACTTGCAATTATCCCCCCCCCCATTTTGTTTTCAATAACGATCAATGTAAAAATAAATATGTATAACAGGACATGTTACAAGTTATTAGAATTATTTATTAGCTGTACTGCATTAGCAGTGTGTTTGGGGCTCCATTGTGCTAAGAGCCATATTTTTGCATATTAAGAGACAATCCTGTCCTAAAGATGGGCAAAGTGTGAGAGAAATGAAATCTTATCTTCCATTAACAGATGGAGGCTTGGGGCACAGAGAGATTATGGGTCTTACTCAAGGTCACACAGAATAATTGTGGAAGACCTAGGAAACAAACAAATATTTTGCAATACAGTCCAATGCATTTCACAAGGTCATGTATGTGAGAACATGTCTTTACAAGGGGGTTAAATTACTTCATAGTAACATATCTGTGTGTTTTATTTTGTATATTTCATAGATCATATACTATTTTTGCCAGGTAAAAACAATATAGATCACATAGTTTGCCAAGTAAAAGTTATCTGAATGACCAAAATGTTCTTACCTGCTTCATATGGTCTTTTATTGTTTGTGCATTAGGTGGTGGGATTGGTATTTCCTAGGAATAGTAAAAAATAACATCTATCAAGATAGTTTTTCAATAGAAAATTGGGGTTTTGATTAAATATTGTTTCACCAGAAGTGTCCATTTGCTAAGGAAAAATTAGATTTTTTTCATCAAAAACGGAAATATTTTGGCCCCAAAACAAAATATTTCTATTCAGTTATATTGCCACAGTGCCTCATGGTAATTACAGTTCAGTTGCCTTGTATCCTCATTTTCTATAAACTGGGATCACCAGCCAGACATCGACTTCCATGATGCCCATCTCCTTTCACCAATGTGTGGCACCATGGGAGATGTAGCTCAACCAGGGAGTCTGTCCTCTAAAGGAGAATGGAAGCCTCAGGCATGTGAATTAAAATGACCAAGAGGTACCATGGAAGAATTTCTAAATTGAACTTTTTCCGTGTTTGGCTGAAATACTTTAGTTTTCAACTTTTCAGTGAAAAGTTGAAATGTTCCAACCACTTTCTAATCAGCTTTGCACTTTTTTTTCCAGACTACATTTTTTGCAGACTACACTTCTGTTGGTCTAAGTGCTGATAATTCACATTTGTGATATCTTATGGTGCATAACTTTGTACATGATGTAAATGAACCCTGTGATAAAATGTTTCCTCCCAAAAACCTTGGCAGCTAGAAAGTACAACTTCCATGATCCTGTGATGATGATCTAATTTAATCTCATGAATACACTGACAATAGTGCTCATACTTCATAAATATTTGTTGTATTTTGCATTAGTCAGCTAAAATCTGCCACTGGTCTTTTCATTGCTCTTTCAGAGGAAGAAAGAGCAACAGGAGTTTTTCAGCCGCATGACTGGACTTCCAGGTTACCAACATGCTAGCAATACCATTACTGTCTTCCGTAAGAAGCATACTTTTACCATTTGTATTAGAGCCAGTATCACTGTAAACCAGAAAAATCTTATCTCCTCATTGAGATTTAATTGGTGAATCAAACCAACCTGCAGAGCTTTTCAGATTGAAAGTGGAAAAAAGTTAGTCTTTTGCAATGCAATGCAGCTTCTTCTTGCAAAATTTGACATTGTAAAAACTAAATTTCATACAGAGATATCCTTTGGCATCAGAGTGGGAGGTGAGATTTCACAAGGAATACAGAATACACCCTTTGAAATGAAATGTAAAGCATTGAAATGACAGGTTTGTGTTGAGGATATTGATGCAGTTGTAACAATCCAGTCAACAAAGGAAATATGCGCAGTGTGCAAGGACAGAAACTTAAAAGAAAATAATGTATTATTTTACTTTACGTTGTGTTTAAAAATAGACTTGTTCTCTCAGTACAACTTGATATGTGATAATGAGATCATGGACTGATGTGAAAAGAGAGCACTTTAAACAGCTAAACAAACTTACATAAAATATTGTAGTAAGTGGCAAAGATGAACTAGCAATTTTGTTGTTCATAAGTTTGCAGAAAGGGTTAAAAAGTTTTGCAAGTACATTTAGCTCACTAGCAAGTCAGCCATTGTGAATACGCACATGAGTCACTCATGCATGTGTGTTCCCCACACACAGACCTATATTTAGATGAGGTAGATGCCTGATGTCAGCAGACCCTGATGAATTTCATCCTAGGATACTTAAGGAGTTAGCTAAAGCAATCTCCGAACCAGTAGTAATTATGTTTGAAAACTCTAGGAGCGCAGGTGAGGTCCCAGAGGACTGGAGAAGGGCAAACATAGTACCTCTCTTTAAGAAGGGGAACAAAGAGGACCCTGGGAATGATAAGACAGTTAGCCTAACTTTGATACCTGGAAAGATACTGAAACAAATGATTAAACAATCAGTTTGTAAGTACATAAAGGATAATAGGGTTATAAAGAATAATCATCATGGATTTGTCAAGAACAAATCATGCCAAACCAATCTAATTTCCTTATTTGACGTGGTTACTGGCCTCATGGATGCCGGGAAGTAGTAGATGTGATATATCTTGGTTTTTGCAAAACTTTTGACATAATCCCACATGACATTCTCATAAGCAAAGTAAGGAAATGCAGTCTAGGGGAAATGACTGAGTCTGGTCTTTCAACCAGTTGTGTGCACACATTAAAGAGTAGTTATCAAGTATTTACTGTGAAACTGGGAGGGTGTATCCAGTGGTGTCCCACAGGGGTCAGTGGTGGATACAGTTGCTTTCAATATTTCCATTAATTAGTTTGATAATGGAGTTGAGGATATGCTTACAAAATCTGCAGATGACACCAAACTGGGAGACATTGTAAGCACCGTGCAGGACAGGATTAGAATTCAAAACAACCTTGGAAAATTGGTTTAAATTCAACAAGATGAAATTCAATAAAGATAAGTGCTTAGGAAAGAAAAATAAAATGTACAACTACAAAATGGGAAATAATTGGTGAGGTGATAGTACTGCTGAAAATAAGTGGGGGTTAGAGTGGATCACAAATTGAATATGAGTCAACAATGTGCTGCAGTTGTGAAAAGGCTAATATTCTGGAGTGTAATAATTGGAGTATTGTACGTAAAACGTGGGAGGTAGTTGTCTCACTCCACCCAGCACTGATGAGGCCTCAGCTGGAGTACTGTGTCCAATTCTAGGCACCTCATTTTAGGAAAGATGTGGATAAATGGAGAGAATCCAAAGAAGAGCAACAGAAATGATTAAAGGTTTAGGAAAAGAAAACCCTGACCTATGAGGAAAGGTTTAAAAAAAAAACACCTGAGCATATTTAGTCTTGAGAAAAGATTGAAGGGGGACCTGATAAGTCTTCAAATATGTTAAAGGCTGTTATAAAGAGGACTGTCTGTGATCACTTGTTTCTCATGTCCACTGAAGGCAGGACAAGAAGTAATGGGCTTCAGCATGGGAGATTTATGTTCAATATTAGGAGAAACTTTTCAACTATATAGGGAGTTAAACTCTGGAACTGTGAAATCCCCATCATTAAAGGCTTTAAAAAAATTGGTTGGAAAAAACCTGTTAGGTTTACATGGTCTTGCCTCGGTGTAGTGTGCTAGATTTTGACTCCTTGAGCTCTGTTCTAGACCTATATTTCTATGATATATAGAGATAAATATGATATGACATGATATCCATCTTTACTATGAGTTAAAGGATTAATTTGTTTGGTTTTAATTGCCATTGGAGGACAGAGTGTACTTGTCTGAACACTAGCTTGGGACCAGAGTTGGGTGACTTAGTCACTATGATCATTCATTGTGAATTTAGACATTTTGTGTTTATACATCACTTCTGAGCAGTCTGATTTCAATAAATGTCAACCTATGAGTTGTTTTCAAGCTGTCATTTTGGCTATTCACTATTTGATTCACTATTTGATATTCATTCTGTATGATCAGTCACCTAAATCACATGGTATTGTTTTTCTTTACTGATTGGAGACAAGCTTTGGAAACAGAGAATATTGAATATGTTGTATTTTGGATCTGAATAAATAATACTTTTATTCCCACATGGGTATTTGTACAAAGAAAAACTGTTTCTCAGACACTTGAATGTTCACAAATAGCAAGTAACAACGGTCATGAACATTGACATATCAAACTACTGTATATCAGAGTTACGTCTGTAGTATTCAAACAGCTCTAGCTGGGAGTTAGGAAGTACTGTGCTCTAATCCCAGCTCTGACTTTGATTTGTTCTCTATTTGTGGATAAATCACTTATGGCTGGATTCTCAGAGATGGGGTGCAGAGCAACTTCCAGCTCCCGTGGAGTCCCATGGAAGTCAAATGAGGGTTCAGCATCTCCGAAAAATCAAGCCACTAATGTCTCAATATCTTGGTTACTCAATTTGTAAAATCATTATAATACTTAACTACCTCACAGACTGTTGTGAGGATTACATTGTTAATATTTGTCCAGATCTGAAAGCATAAAAGTCTATATAAGCGCTAAGTAGTATTGTAAGAAGAGAATGAAATATCTAGCCAATTAATGTCCTTTATCAGTACAAGTCATATGATGCTGGGAATCACAGAGAAAGTGAGCCAGAGAAGACTAATAGGTTTGCTTTTGATATACTGGAAGTGTTCCCAAACAGCAATGTTAACACCCAATAGCACCCAACACTCAAAAGAATAAAAAGCAATTAAAGATTATACTCTGAGTGGATAATGTGCTGTGGCTGGGACAAATATGCCTGCCTAAAACTTCTAAACAAGAATAATTTCTCATTGCCTATTCAGGACACCGTTAATGTCTGTGACTTTACTGCTATGCTGTATTTACCTAAGGCTCAGAAGAGCTATTGCTTGAGGCAACAGTAAATCAGGGAAATCTTCCAGCATGCAGAAGAGAAAATGAATACACTTCTGAATTTTCATAAACTGTTTCCATTGTTCAAATTTAACTTGGTTGTGTGTGTTGTTATGATCTGGTGAATAGCCCTCTGATCACAGTATCTAGTGCATTCTCAAGCATATGTGAAATTTAGTTTGTTTGCTAAATTTATCATGAATATTGATTCCAAGCACTGGGCACACAACATGACTAGAACCTGTCTGCAGCTAACCCCATTCACCAAGGTCTAGTGAAGAAGACAGTAATGATTTAATAACATGGATGAAACACCTAAATTGAAACACACAGTAGAACTTCGTGGAATTCTTAACTTGCCCTGTGTTGGCTCAGCTTCCTCAAATGAAGTATTTGTCAAAACATGGACAAGAAAGAACAAGAGATGGCATGAAGCTGTTCTGTTTGAGCATCTATATCTTGTACCAAGATAAGATGCACTGTGGAGGATGCTTTCATTTGAATGTTTGCATAGAGACTAAATGTGATGTGTATATATTGCAATTGGTTGTTGAATGGAATTTGCTCAAATAAATAGTCCTATTGAGTTGTTATTATATGAGAGCTAGGATAATTTCAACTTGAGAATTTTAGCTATTTACAGATCACCCAACTTAACCAGAAGTCTATTCTTCCTCAGAGTATGGGCTACAGTAGGACTCAAAAGCTCTGAGTTAAATTTCAATAACTTCCACAGACATCCTTTGTGATCTTGGGCAAGTAATTTAATTTCTTGGTTCCCCATCTGTAAAATATAATACAGGAGGATTTGGGTGTGGGGGGGGAGGGAATAAATTCAATGTTTGTGTAGTATTCACATACTACAGTGATGGAGGCCATATGAGTAGATCAATATCAGTGTGTATTGAGCTCTTGTGTCTGGTTTTGGAGACATCAAGACTTCTTGTTCAGGTTGGCTCAGAATTGTCAAACATTTGTGACATTATCATGAGTCAGTAAAAGAATGTCAGGAATTTTCCTGCTACATACTATGTTAGCTGGTGGTGATGGAGCCCTTCAAGGAGCTACAAGCTAAGTGTTGTTGATGTACTGAGATAGGAGTGTAAAGTAGGACTCCAACCAGAATATAAGGGAGATGGGAGTAGCCTCTGGGAAAGGAAATTCTAGAAACATCCAAGCCTGAGGAGGAGGCTTAGGCTGGGGTTCAGGTAGTGTTACTTTTAGAATTATCATTATATTAGTAAATCAGACTCCAGGAGGGTCTGATTTTACTTTTTTGACTCTACAATGAGTATGCAGTTTTTATTTGCTGTTGAGTGGGACCTGCATCAGTTTACAGCTATTCATGGTCTTCTGGTATCCAGAAGTATTAGCACAAACTGCTACCATTTTCATTACAGGTAACAATCTCCCACTACTTTCTTTGGGTTAGAAACTGGGATGTAATTAATGGAGATAATAACTTCCTCTGTTCTGTTTTGAAACTAGATGGAAAACTGAGCAAAGAGGGACACTTAAGGTGTGCTGGTCAATGTGGGGGACAGAAAGGGATAATCTGAAGTTTCGGAGACAGTGGGAAAAGGACAACATATATTGATGGCAAATGAATGTAAGTGGGTTAGGTGTAGCACAGGGGACTCCGAAGAGGCATGGAGGGAAAACGTAATTGTGGCAGGATATTGGACTGGGGTGCAGAGAAAAATCTATAGGAGAACTTGGAGGAATGTAGGAGAGTAATGTAGTTAGGGGAAATGGGAAAGAATGACACCCAGGAGTTGTTAGGGCCTCCATTTACTTTCTCCTTTCTGACAACCAACATGGGGGGCCCATATTTTGGTGTGCACTTTAAGGTTGCACTTCTAGCTTGAAATAATTATACCTAAAGTGGGGGTGAGCAGCACTTCTTTTCCCCCCTCAGTTCCCCTAAATCTCATTATTTTTAAGCCAACTCCATGAATCTCTGTCTCTGATTCGTGATTTTTTTCAACATTTGAGTTTGGCTACACTGGTGAATTCAGTATCTACACTGTGTCTTGTAAATAGAGCTGGTTGAAAGATTCCTTTTTTTTTAAATGAAAAATGTTATTTAAACTTTTTTCCACAAACATTTTCAAATCAACCCCACTTGTGTGTTTGCTCAAGAGTCCATGGTTTCTTGGTACCCATAGGAGACTGTCAGCTGGCTTCTGACTCAGCCCATCCTGGAACTGACATTTGGGTTGGGATGAGAAAGAAATAACGTTAAACATACCTTCCTGTTTGGACCCTATGGTCCAATCTCCTCTGTACTAAGGTCATGGCCTTTGCCCCTTTATATGGCTCTATTTCCAAGATCTGTCCTTGGGCACTGCTATAGCTTGCAAGGGTTCTAGAGTATTCTGTGAAAATGCACCGCTCAGCCATTGTCCTGTTCTTACCACCTCCCACCTAGATATTATAAATATCTGTAATACTCATGGAATACAATGTCACACTTACTGCACCTGATCACCTGCCCCTAGTGCATCATCACTGCAGGTCACCATGGCATACGGATAACCTAACGTAGGGATAGCCAATTATTTGTTCAAGTCCAAATGTCTTGATCAAGGTATAATCAAGGTCCAGACTCCAGAGAAAATCATAATAACAATAATGATAAGTAAATAAAAAGATTTAAGTAGGAGACCTGTAGTGGTCACTTTGATCATTTGTAAATGGACAGGCTACTGTGGCCATAACTCTTATATTTTCATCTATAAATCAGTCAACTATCTTTATCTTAAGAAATTAAGCTCCAGTAGGTTCAGAGGGAAGATACTCGGCTCTTGATAGTAAATGCAGTAAATAAATATATATAAATAAGTATATAAGTAAATATATTGCACCTGTACTCAAGTCTCTGCACTGGCTTTCTGCTTGCAGTCACAACAATAGGCTTATAAAAATCATATTTTTGCTGTATAAACAAGGTATAAATTTATCTACTACTAATTTTCATTGTTTCTCTCATCTTTACTTCACAAAGTTCTATGGGAACTCCGGCTAATATACTAATAATTCTTTTAACATAACTGTGAGGGAGAGTGGGAACCCTAGAACCAAGCAAAAAGGAGCATTCTAAGGGGAGGGAAGAAGCAAGGAACAGAGCACAACTGCATTCTGGCTGTTGTTTACTGTCAGCAGCCACTACAAAGTAATGAGAAGCCCAAGTGTACACCAGAGCAGCCTTAAAGTTGCTGTACGTTATTTCAGAGTACAGAAGGCACAAAGGTGGTTTTAAAACCATCTTTAATGCCCCTTCCTCCACTCCTGCACTGAGTGTATCTCAGTTGGAATGGAGAATCAGGCCTGCTGTGTTTAACGCCTCCAACCCATTCAGTTTTTTGTGACATCTGGGTCTGATGTGATGTGATCTGATCCAGGTGCCAATCAAAACCACTTTGATAGATTTGGGTTTAGATTCTTGATGACATGTGACCGCTATGGAAATAAGTTCAATTTGGCAGTATAGAGCTGATAATTCCCTACCTGTAATGTTGTGCATCCATTTCTCAGGTATGGAGTCTGATATGGCAGAAGGTCTGGTCATCATTTCTTGCTCCCATTTTGAGGCTTTGGCATCTCCAGTTGATCTTGCTCAATGTGGTGATTTTAGTTGGTTAGCTCTGTGTTTTAAAGAAGTAGGATTCACTTGACCTTCCAAAACAACAATTTCAAGTAACTAAAATAAAAATCTGACAAATGTCAGTAATTATGGGGATTACTGACCCCCATGCATAGTGCTGCTATTTGAGGGGCTACAGGTACACCAGCTAATAACCTCTGTGAAGGAGAGGAAAGAGAGTGGGAAAGTAATCTAGGGAAAAGTGATTTTGGGATGGGGGGAATAAAAATTTCTCCTTAGTGTTACTAATGGGTATACAGAAGATATGTATATACTGTATGTGAACTGTTAATATAAAGAGTGCCATCTACTGGCATATAAAATATACAGCATCGTTAATTAATTTGTAGATTCAATAAAGTTCTTCTTATGCTCTGCAATTGGTTTCCTCTATGCTGCTCTTAACACTGGGGCCACTGATGCTGTTTCTCTCTGTGGCAGACAGAGTGCAGGATGAGGGAAGGATTTTCTTCTTAGACCTTAAAGTAGCCTTAAGGATAATATTTAAGAATATGAGGTCAAATTCTTCAATCTTATACATGCAAATCACCTGTTGACTTTACATGGCTTTAAGATGGGATCTTTAAGACCCAATCCAATTCCCACTGAATCAATTAAGTCTTTCATTCATTTCAGTGGGAACTGGATCAGACCCTTAAACTTAAAGTTATCCAGGTCCACGTTAACAACTAAAAATGCATATTTTATAAATCCTTTTGCCATTACAGAAACATACAGCATGTCTTAACAATATCAATCAGTTAGTTGGATGAAGAATAAGTCACCCAACCCACTCCAAATCCTTTAAATCAATATCTAACTCCCTTTTGTTGGTATGACAAATGCGCTGTTATCCAGACTCAACCTGGATTTTTATCAGAATGTCCAAAGGGTATTAAATTGAACTATAATGATGCTTTTTGGCCATGACTTTTATCCTTCAAGTGCCAATGGGGAAAACTTCCAGATTGTCTAAGTTTCTAGTGCAGAAACCAAACTGAAGTGCAATAGAAACTTCTTGCTGTGTGGATCAAATCAGTCAGTCTCAGGTCAAGGTGCAGAGCAAGATTTGGGGGGGAACATATGGTAAACATTCCCTGCTAGTAATTTAGCCTGTGTTTTGCTCATGTAATGGTGGTGTTAGAGCTTTTTGCCAGAACCTCAGCTTTGGAGTTATGCACTTCCTGCCTGTTGAAGGCTAGTGTGGAAGTACCAGGTCCAGTGTCAATAGAGATTGTTAGCACCTTTCTTAGGAAGGACAGACTGCCATTTGCTTTGCAGGAATCATTTTTGTGGCCTTTACTGAAGAAAACATTGCTTGACATTGATTATCTGGCTAATTTTTATCTCCTAGCCATATCTCCCTATATTATTAAGATTGTTGAGAAGGCTGTGACAAGACTAACCTCGCAGTATCTAGGTGCCTCTGCACATCTTGACTATGGTCAGTCTGAATTACAGACCTATTTTTGATGTAGAAACAGCATTGTTTGATAAAGATCAAATGTTCGTCAATATTGTTAGAACAGAAAATATAGTTCCTCTCCTCTCCCCGCCACCCCTTGGTGAATCTTCACTTTTTAATGAAAAATTGAAAAAAACAAAATCTCATTTGAAAACCAAAATATTTTTCATCTGAAATTCTACCTCATTGCCTCAGCTGCCTCATACTCTCATTCTCCTCTACAGGCCAGGTTCCATGGTTACTCTACATCTCCCATGATACACCATGTACATCGTCCTTGGGGAGGGAAGGAAGTGCTTTAGGGCAGTCCCATGGCTGTGGTGCTACAAGGGGGAAAAAATCCAGTTGAGGAGGTCAACCCATGGAGGAGACTAAGAATATGATACAATCATTGTGCAACTCCCATGACGCACTCCTGCAGCATATCTGAGTCAAACTATTTTGTGTTTTGCCCAAAATTCTTCCATCTTTGGGCAAAAAAAAGAAAAACTTTTTGGCTTTCAGAGGTTTCATTGTTTTCAATGGAAAATCAAAGTTTTCCCTGAAAAGCAGGGTACTTTTTGCAAAAAAAGAAAAAAGCATTAACCCCCCATTTTCTCTTCAACAGTTTCAACAGGAAATTTTAAAGCAGTATTAATCATTGGATCTATTCGCTTTGTTCAATGTGATTGATAATCAGATAATCTGGACATGTCTGAGGACCTTATTCAAAGTAGATAGGACTGCCCTTCAGTGGCTTTCTTCTTTTTGTTCAGAGATCACAAGAGGTAACTGTGGGACATTGCTTCATTTCCCCAATGGCTCTAGAGTATGAGGTGTGCCAGAGTAACATTCTGTCATCCCTCACACTCCAAGTGAATTATGGGATCATTGAGGGGTTGTTAATTATGCATAAGGTGTTGCATTTTCATTATGGGTAGATACCCAGCTTTGTCTCTATTTGAGACACCTTTTCCAATGTCTGGTTGGGATTAGGGCACAAATCGGTGAAAACAAAATAATCTTAATCTCAATACGTTGGTTTGAAGATGGCATTAGTCCCTTAGTCAAAGAAAATGGCATGAGTCCCTTTGATTAAGGGGGTTCATCCATCCTGGGTCCCCTGAGTTTGCAATTTATGGGTGGCTTTAGATCTATGGGTGGTTTTATATGATCATATTACAGTAGAGACCCATGAGAACTTGGATCAACTGTGCCTGGCTAGGAGATTGCAGACCTTTTATTTTGAACACAGATCTTGCAATACCTTTATCAGATCCAGATTAGACTACTGGTCAAAAATAGCTAGAATTAGTTGACCTTCAAGGTATGCTGCAAAAAAAGCACCTCTATGCTAGAGCTTTGGGGGAAGGCTAAGGGAATGGCATTTTGAGTGGGGTATATTTTTGCAGCTTCAGATTACTGTCTCAGAAATTTAATTCAATGTTGTGTGCAAACACTGTTACGGTTTTGGGAGGTTATTTTGACCATAAGTTTAAACAAATCTCAAGACACCTAGAGGAGTGGATAGGCATCATGCTGGGTATTTTAATCTAAATAAAATAAACAATGCCCAGCACACCACAATGAAATTCACGTTGAAATAATTTTCTTCAAAAAGTGGTTCTTACGGAATTTCCACATCAAACGGCTAATACACTTTGCTGGAAGTATATGGTGGTTATCCATATGGTTTTCTAGAAGGATATACCTCCCTAGCACTACCTTGAGGAGAGGATGAGAAATGCCCTTTTTTCACAGTCTGGGGCTGTGCTGTCCAGGGCATCTGCACTCTTAAAAGCTGTGGGGGCAATAAAGTAAACCAAAAAAAGGGTCAGTATACTTCTGCAGCTCACAAAAGGCAGAGTCCTTTGCCTTTGGGAAGCTGGGGGTGGGGAAGAGCAAAGAACTGGCACCCCAGGCTCTCAAGCTGTTTCCCTAGTCAGCAGTCCCTGCTTCCTGAGAGCTCTAATTTGCAGCCCTGCTCCTTCAAAGTGCCACCCTACACCGAGCAGAGATGTGCCCTTTTAAGGACCTGCCCATCTCCAGGCATTACAAACCTCCTAGGTGTTCTGGGTTCGAGCTGATTGTGCCCAGAGGCAGAAAACCCTCCTGACTGCCTTACCAAAGTATTTATAATGAAAATCCAAATCCCATCAATATTTTTCCACTGTACAATAAAGAAAAGTTGTTTTGGTTTTTTTTAATTTGTAAACACTCTTCTAAAATTCAAAGTTTGGTCAGTAGAAGTGATTCATTTGTTTCCTTCAAACACATGCTCATTTATTGCCATTAACTAATAGCAGGTCAGGGAAGGTATTTACAATTCCAGTCTTCTCTATACAGAGCACAATTCTCTTTTTATTTTACTTCAATTTTCCTGTGTTTAATTATTGCATATTAAATTATTTATATTTTTGTATAAATGAACGGAAATCCTTTATGTATATAGTCGTTTACACTGAAAAAGTCAGTTGTAATCTGTAGTCAGTTGCATTAGTGGTTCTTTGTGCAACAAAGCCTCCCTGTTTACTGTATCCTATCCTTTTCATGATGTTCCTTTGGTTTGATAGCAGCTTCTTAAAGTGAGAAAGTTCAGAACATCTGTCTGATGTTCTCTTTTAGCCACCACATTGTCCCAGGGTCCTTAAAGAACATGAATTCCCCTACATAAAATCGACTTTGCAACTCATTTTGTTAACCAATGTTGCACTGTATGTAGTATTCTAGTTACATGTGTTTTTATAAATACTCCTCAATTGACATAATAAAGAATGAATATTTCCATGACTTGGTAGAATAGGATGGCAGCATTTGCCTGAAACACCTCACCCTGCTGGGAGGTGTTGATTCTGCTGGAAAATGTTGATGTTGAAGTCTTTAAGCCATGATTTTAGGACTTCAGTAGCTCAGACATAGGTGAGAGTTTTATTGCAGGAGTGGGTGGGTGAGATTCTGTGGCCTGCATTGTGCAGGAGGTCGGACTAGATGATCATAATGGTCCCTTCTGACCTTAATATCTATGAGTCTATGTTCATTCTGTGGACTCACTGAGGCAGGTGGCTCATTATCGTACCTTGATATTAGGGAGGTGAGAGTCGTTCCCTAAAGAGAAAGGAGTGGGTTGACGGTAGGCCAGACAATCATTGCAGAAGGACCATAGAACAACCAAACTTGGGGAGAAGGCTTGGATTTGTATGCTTAATTTTGAGTTACCTTGGAAATAAAACCAAACCCAAAGAAGGTAAGTTTTGACCAGCTAAAGCTTATATGGCCTGTTTTTGGAACAGATTGGCGAAGCCTCTTGTTCATATGCAATTTACCTCCCCTATACTTACCACTCTGGACTTCATGTCCATATCCTCCCTTTGTGATTTGTCTGTGAATATAGGTTATTGCCCTAATGTTCTTAAAAGGACCTGCTGACCGAAGCCAAATTCACTATGCCTAGCCATTAAAAGGCAAGTAAAATCAGGATGTTATGGAAAGCACATTGGAACTGATGCCACAGATTGAATGACACAAATGGAAATAGATTCATCCAATTTCTGTTAATC